GTACTCGGCCGGCCTCTGCTTCCGCACCATCAGGATCTCTGCCAGGGCACTGATGGGGTCTTTCTTGTAGAAGAAGTAGACCCGCTGTGAGGGGTCCACCAGCTCCATGTGCGGTTTGGACCAGTATGGAGTCACGTCCTCTGGCAAAGGACGCTTCCTCAGCTGATGCAAAACCACCTTAGCTGCACCTAGTTTGGCGTTTTGTTTGGTGGGGCCTGAACCAAATCCCACCAGGTCCCCTACTCTCAGCTGTATGTGGAAAGTCGGTGCATGGCAAGGGCCTTCTTTTCCCATCTCATTAAACTGCAGCTGCACGTGGTGCAGTAATGCCAGTTCGTACAGGAGGGACAGGTCGGTCTTGTGGACTTCACTGGGGAGTCCACGCTGCATGTTGTCTGTGTTTGTGTTTGCTTCTGTTTCTACAATGTGGTCAAATAATACACTGCTGTCGGACAGATATTAACTTTGGCCGGTTTACGTCTTCCTGAAGCAACCTTTTAAAGCAGACATTCTAGAATGACTTCATAAAGGCAAGCTGGGTTTCCATGACAACATAGCAAGGCATGTTGTCATGACAACGTGAGGCCTGTGCACAGAAGGACTTATCTTTGAAAACGTCCTGTTGTTTTTATCCTGTATAATTTGAAATCACATGGTTGTTTCTGTAATAAACTAATAATAATATTTATTTTGTTGCCGGGGCGTGACTTGAGAACTCCGCCGCCGCTGGAGCTCTCGCAGGACAGTCTGTGTGCAGGAAATTCACGTGAGCGCCCCCTGCAGGTTCTCCTGTGACATTCAACAGGTCTCAGCGCAGTCAGAGGTCTGGACGAACATCACGTTTCATTGATTTCATCCGAGTCTCGACAAATGAGCAAAGTATCATCAACAAAAAGTGTAATGTTGAACATGGAATATTTTAAACTACACGGTTAACCGGTTTCAACTGGCTAATGAGGCTCGGTGGTCGGTCATGAAAATTCATAGTTTTTTACATCCCTCCTCCAGAGTTCATCCTCTTTTTGATTATCTATGATTGAATGAATCCTTTATATCAAGCATAAAACAATAACAATTTAAATGTATCACCAACTTGTGCTATCCTAAACCTTATAGTAAACAATAAATATGAATCAATAAATTACATATTTTCTACAATAAAGTTACGCTCTTATATAAGAAAAACATGTTATCTTTACTGATCTTTGGCTCAGTAGATTTCTCACAGTTCACAAGGTCCTCACAAATCAAAGAGTTTATCAGTATTTTGACCTGGGTTTAAGTTCAATAGTTTTGACTCTGATAGAGACCAGAGAGAGAGACCATAAAGAGACCAGAGAGAGACCAGAGAGAGACCAGACAACAAAGAGACCAGAGAGAGACCAGAGAGACACCAGAGAGACACCAGAGAGACACCAGAAAGACACCAGAGAGAGAGAGAGACCAGAGAGAGACCATAAAGGGACCAGAGAGAGACCAGAGAGAGACCATAAAGAGACCAGAGAGAGAGACCATAAAGAGACCAGAGAGACACCAGAAAGAGACCAGAGAGAGACCAGAGAGAGAGAGAGAGACCAGAGAGAGACCATAAAGAGACCAGAGAGAGAGACCATAAAGAGACCAGAGAGAGACAATGACACACAAAAGAAACGTTATTACACAAAGGTCTTTCCTAAAACTAAACCTAATTCCAAAAGGTTTTCTCCTCTTTGCTTTGTTCAAACACTCAAACTCACTGGACACATCACCCCAAACCTGGACCCGAAGCTGAACGTTGTGGACGGTCTTTGTGCACGACCTCAAGGTTAGCGCGCTAACCACAATATAAGTAAGTAAGTAAGTAAGTAATCTTTATTTATACGGCCTTTCACAGACCAGAGTCACAAAGCGGTTTACAATTGTTTTTTCTTTTATTGGGCATTTGTCGGTCACTCCACACAGAGATTGGAGCGAGGTCGCAGAACAGGAGGCGCACGCTAGACCTATTGTACATGTTTTTAGTGGTAGGGGAAACCGGAGCATCCGGAGGAAACCTACGCAGACACGGGGAGAACATGCAAACTCCACTCAGAAAGGCCCTGTTCCGACCGGGATTCAAACCCAAGACCTTCTTGCTGAGAAGCAAGAGTGCTATCCACTCAGCCACTGTGCCAGACGCGAAACACACATTTCAAGTCTGAGTGAGGTATTAGGACCTACAACACACACATCAGGTCTGAGTGAGATACTAGCACGTACAACACACACATCAGGTCTGAGTGAGGTATTAGGACCTAAAACACACACATCAGGTCTGACTGAGATACTAGGACCTACAACACACACATCAGGTCTGACTGAGATACTAGGACCTACAACACACACATCAGGTCTGAGTGAGGTATTAGGACCTACAACACACACATCAGGTCTGAGTGAGATACTAGGATCTACAACACACACATCAGGTCTGAGTGAGATACTAGGACCTACAACACACACATCAGGTCTGAGTGAGATACTAGGATCTACAACACACACATCAGGTCTGACTGAGATACTAGGACCTACAGTATAACAAGCACTTCAGGTCTAAAATACATTTTTATCAATAGCTACTCCTTTCACGGAGAGTAACTCTGTAAGTGGACAAATCCAGTTTAACTTTATTTTAAAATTATTTCTCATCATACATGTTTGTTATTTTTGACACATCAGTTATATATTTGTTTTTGATATTTATGTAAGTAGGTAAGTAAGCTTTATTTATATACCGCCTTTCATAGACCAGAGTCACAAAGCGGTTTACAATTGTTATTTTTTTTGGGCACTTGTCCTCTCACTCCACACAGAGATGGGAGCGGGGTCGCAGAACAGGAGGCGCATGCCAAACCTATTGTACATATTTTTAGTGGTAGGGGAAACCGGAGTACCCGGAGGAAAACTACGCAGACACGGGAGAACATACAAACTCCACTCAGAAAGGCCCTGGTCCGGCCGGGATTCGAACCCAGGACCTTCTTGCTGAGAGGCGGGAGTGCTTTCCACTCAGCCACCGTGCCGAATTTAAAATTCTTATTCAAACAAGAATATTTTTCAGGGAACCTTCAATTTTTTTTAGTGTTATCAAAAACCAGAGTACCCAGAGAAAATCTACTGACACAAGGAGAACAAGCAAGCTCCACTCTGAAAGGTCCCTTCCGGCTGAAATTTTGTTTTTGTACAAACAGTCACTTACTTCTCAAGTATGTATTTAAATTAGCTTGAGTCAATATTTTGGCTCTTCTACCCACCTCTGGGAATGTATTCAAGTTTGTCACAAAATTGGTGACATATGAAGACAAGTGCGTGTGTGTTAAAAGTGTGTAAAGGTAGTTCCGTGCATGACCATAGGGGGCGTAACAAGCTTTTTAGGACAAAGTGTTTCGGCCCCCGCACACATTTTCACTATGCTTGAATTTTGGTGTGTACAGTAGGTCCCATTTCGTTTTGTCGTCTTCACTCACACTTTTCGGGAATCACGCAGCTGCGTGAAAAATATTACATCTTATCAGGTTAAGGTGGCAGGTTAAGTCCGCTTTAGCTCTGCCAGCGACTTAGACGCTCAGGTATCATACTGCGTGCAAACCTGTCTGGCCCAGAGATTCTATGTTGGCCGAATGGTTAGCATTGAAGACTGGGACCTGGGAAACCCTGGTTCGATTCTTGTCTGAGGCAATTTTGGTTGCACATCTTTTGGTTGCTTGTGTGCAATTACGTAACGTTATCAGATTGTTATCTTCTTTCCTTGTCAAAAGGAAATGTGTAAAATTGGCTGTGTGTTCAAGCCGTGCATGTGAATGTATATGTGTTGCTATTGAATGCTTTTTCAAAGTAAGAGCATAACAGACAACATATACATATGATATTTTGTACTAATGTTAATCTTTATAATTAAATTGCATTAACGTATATATGTGATGCGATCTGGGAAAACCCGTCGGATGTCACGCTGGCACGTTCCGAGTAAACAGTAAAAATAGGTCGATTGTCATTTTTTTGGCAAAATTGTTTTTTCATTAAACAATTATTATATAACATCTTGTCTTTAATGTCTGAAAAAATCTAGGTGAAATTCACTAGTGTTATACGTTAAATATTGTGATATGTTTTGATAAACCGAACGTTACGTTACATCCTCCGCTCTGGCCCCGGGAGCAGCTGTTGTGACCCCCGCTCTGACAGCTCAGTGAACGCACTGCCGTCTGGGCTCCAAGCGCGGACCATAGACACGCGAACAGAACCACAGCAGGACCATAGACACCCGAACAGAACCACAGACAGACATTTACAGTACATATACGCAGACAGAACCCAGACAGGCGGAGACACGCGAGACACGCGGATCATAGACATTTGGACAGAACCAGAGACACACGAAGCATAGGCACTCGAGTCGGACAGGTCCATTTGTTTTATTTGTGTTTAAAGTTACCTAAGTTTCTCCTTGCATTAAAAATGCTTGGTGATTGTGGATATTAAGACTGCGTGATTTGATAGAATAATACTGGCAATGTCTAATACATATCTAATTTTCAGTAAATTATAAAGAGAAAGAAAAAGAAGAGGAGGTCAAAATTCAATCCATTGAATATTGAAAGAATCAATACATTCTTGATTTTCGACTAATTCATGAGTGTTGTGTGTTTAATTGGTGCCAAAGTAACATCTTTTTAATCTTCTACAACATTGTGACTAAAACAAGTGTGCCATAACAGAGTAATTCAAAATTTACATGTTATATGACTGTGATGATTATGTTTGGAATGTCGATCTTTAAACCTGTTTTTCTCAGAATTCTGTTTCATAAAACCATGTAAATACGCTGACTTCAGATTATGAGAACTTTTGTTACAGACATGCTATGGAGAAAAGGAAAACAGATTTGAAAAGATATTGAAAGCAGCTTTAAGATGTTTCATGGACGCCCACACTAACTCAAACTTTTCACCAGGAGCCTTCCATTCTTGAGCTTGGATTACACGCAAGTCTTTGTTTTTTCCTCGGGTCATTGGAACGAATCTGTAAGCAGAATTTATCAAAATGTTACTATAAGAATGACATGTTGAGTGCCCGGTTATCACGATAAGTAATCAATAAAGAAACGCGTGTTACCTGGGCTTCCCAAAGTTCCAGCCAAGATTCCGGACTGCTTTTCGCACCGAGTGTAAGCCGATCGTTATGTTGTGCCTGCTTTGGAGAAGCTCTTTTACTTTTCTTGCTGGTAGTTCATCGTCTGTTCTCAGGATGGAGTCTATTATTTCCATCACCTGACTAAAAGAGACACATTGTTTCAGTACATAGTTTGGTAAAGCCTGTTGTTATTTTGTTCACATGTGAAACTTACAAACTTGAGTATATATTTAAATAATAAAAAGTACATTTACCTTGTCACTTTACGTGGTTTGCGTTCCTTCTTCTTCTCCACAACAGCACATCGGCAATTACGCTGGATAGTTCGCAAGGAAGCTCTTATTCCAGTTGTGGCCAAGTTTTTGGCGATAGTGCTAGTCGTCCAGCCTTTCTTACGCAGGGTCCTGATGAGCTCACTGACTTGTTGTTCTACACACACCTCCCTCCCCCTACCGCCCACTCCCTGTGTTTTTTTCCCGGTCCCGTCCCAATCACGAGATAAGATGTTTTGCATATGTGAGGAAGAACTGGATTTTCGACATTCCTGTGGTCAATCTAGTTCAATACAGTTCAGTTCCTACGCAGCTTTAACATGTTGTTCATAAAAATGGCCAGAATTGCCTATATTTTGGGCAACGGAATAAAAATAATGGATTGCGCCAGATTAAAATGTGTGGCTACTGCCCATCACTGCATATTAGTAACTAAGATTTTAGCAGATGGGATTTGTTTCGTTTTTCAATTGACTGATCATAATGAATAAATCTGTAAATACTCCAATTCCGCCTGTTTTTTTGGGTTCAAAGCTGAATAAATCAGGCTAGGACAAATCATCATAAAATAAGCATCATGGGGGATGGGTTTTGTCATTTTTATTCTCTGACATGAAAATAAGATGTAAAGGGAGGAAAAATAGATACAAATCTCCACTTCGACCACTGCGTGAAAAATCAATACTTTCACCTGCCGTGTTCATCTAAAATGTTTTTATTTTATTTTAAAGGAGCAATATGTAATATTTGCATGTCAAGTCATCATTAAATGACCCGAATATTTCAAAAGGCATTAATAAATCATGTTCTTTTCAAACACATCTTTAACTGATAACAGTAGTTCATCCGAGATATTTGAATATCAAAATTAGTTTTACGACCCGTAAAAGTTGTTATTGTTTTGATTTTGATGTCCTACCCTCCGCCGTTTTGCCAATCAGGAAGTGTCATGTAAGTCCGTGATCGGGTTGCCAGAACTCCGTGCGGCTCACTAATCTCAGTGGTAAAATAACATGTGGCGCAGAACTAAAAAAGGTCTTGTTATGACTCTCAAATAGTTAATGACAAAACAAAGACTAAAACGAGGATTTATATCGGGATGCCTTAGAACAATTGAGACAGCTGATAAAAGTTCACGTGTGATGCAGAATTTGCTAGTTTGAGTCCGTTCTTCACCGTGACTCTACCTGAGTGAATCGATGGTCTAGTGGTCTAAACTGTGCGCTTAGATTGCTCTAAAAACGGTAAAAGACGAAGGTCAAGACGTTTTTTTTGCAGATTATAGCTTAATTGTAAAAATAATCATTTAAGACCACATGTACCCCAATTCAAATAATGTTAGTCTCTTTTTGATGTGGGACTTTTACATGTTTGTCTAAAAAATAGGGAATAAATAAAATTGAAAGGTGATATCCTCTTGAGCAAACCCTGATGTTGATACGCTGAAGAAATACGTTCCAACATCCATTCTTCCCACTCCTATTTTGGACATCAATTGCTTATGTATTTTGCATAAACTATGTATAATTACATTGCTTTTATTTTGATTTGTTTTTTATCTCAAATGTCCAAATAATAATAATAATAATAAAAAAACATGAATCAAAACATTCATTCAGCATTAGCACGGCTGTCATGGCAATGTGAATGGAGACGGACAAACAACTGATAAAATAATTCCCTGTGTTTGCTGCTGGATTTGGTGTGAATCTGGCAACCTGAGTCAGGGAGAGTGGGAGAGGACTACAAAATATTGACTGTGACTGCAGTACCACTTTTGGCCAGATTTTTACATATTGTTCCTTTTAATTATGACATAAAACCCAGTCAACAGATTCAACACCTATAAAAATGTATATTTATTTTATCCAACATTGCTCTGAAGGGCTCAAAAACTAGTCACACAAAAACAGTGTCGAACTGAATACTTTACAAAGACGTAAATCACAAAAATAAATGTATAAACAAAGAAAAACTTGAATTCTGCTGCAAAGTTTCTCATTTCACGCTGAGGCTTTGGGATCTTGGTAAAACAAAGTCTAAAGAAAGAGAAAAGACAGTATTGTTGGCACAGAACAAAACACGAAGCAAAAGCATTAACTACAGGAGTGAAAGTTGACTTACCTTATTTAATGAGATTCTTTTACTCTGTGTACCACTACAGCAGATGTGAAAACAAACCAAACAAATAAACAAGTTGTTAAGCTCATACTAAATAACTTACAGAAACTTCATATGCAGTTCAATTTGTGTTATTTTAGCAGCACTGCTAACCCGCCTCCCAAGAATCTTACATATTAGCGAGCTAAGGTTCAGTTGTACTTTGTGTCACTGCAGAACAACCCTGTGTCGTCCAACCAAGTCTGACTTTGTTACTAATAACCAGCAAAATAGATGTGCAAATTCTTAAATCAGAAAAGAACGTACCTTTTTTTAAAATGTGAGACTGGTCCAAGCTCCTAAGCTCCAAAGGTATACAGTTTATTTAGGCGATTATCAATGTGTTCCATCAAAGAGGGAATCATTTCATGTAAATCAATTAGGTTTAAAGGAATACATTTTTTTGGATGCTGTTAAAACAAATTTATTTTCATTTTGAACATGAAATAGGAATTTGTTACCTCAAAGAGTGATTTGTCAAACTAAAAGTTGTTAGTTTACAATGAACATGTCTATTTAGGTTATGGCTGTACCCAATATATTATTATGAAGCAAACACATACATTATGTGTTACTTTTAAGAGAGGCCTGAGTCAGTTTTTTGAGAGGCCTTTTGCACTCTGGAACACCAGATGGGTGGGTTTCACACCTCTTTCTCTTTCACTGGGCACTCCTGTCTCATGTCCTCTTGTGGCAAGGTGGTGGCTTTTGTTGGCCTTTAAAAATGCAAACTAAGTTCATGCAAACATTAGCAGAGCAATAATTGCTTCAGTGAAGGAAAAACATTTGTAGCCTACAGTAACAGATATCACGGACTGAAATGGGGACTGAAATGGGGACTGAAATGTCCCCACTGTGGGACGAATAAAGGATCCCTTAATCTAAATCTGACTCATATGCATTCATTTTCTCACAGATTACACATTTAAAGGCACACCGCGGACTTTGTGACCTAAAGAGTTGACACATATGAGTTATTTTATATGAATACTTGGGCCAATATACAGCGCTTGACACTTGCAATGCTCCGAGCGGGGCTGCCCTCTTGAAATACCGCCCATGTAAGTTTCGAGCAGACGGACCGTCTGCCACCAGGTCACGTGACTTGGAAGAAAGACTTGCTTTACGGCTACAGGCGCTGATATACTCATGGAGCTAAGGCTTTTGCTACTCATTTTTCACCTACTCGACTCCTGGTCATGGCTGAGGCAAGGAAAAATTTTAAACCTTCGGAGGAGGCTAAAAAGAGGAAACGCGAAAGGGATCGTGCTGTAAGCTGCATGTCTGTATGAGCGCTGCTGTTCACCTGGTTCCTGGATGTCATCGACTGCAAAGATGTCATTCCACGCAGCACGAGCTAGACGCAGAACTCCCTCATCCAGGATATAGAAGTCCATGTGTGGTAGATTACTAATGCAGCGGTCTGGAGGCTGACCACAGCAGAGTCTCTCAATATCTGTAGGCATGTCTCTACAGTTTGAACACACACACCAGTGCATGCTGTCTGAATACACACTCAAAAGACACCGGCTGACTGTTGACTTTTGCGACAGTGCTGAGTTGCTTGTGGCCACTAGGGGCGCTAAACGTGAAAGTTGCAGGTCTAGCGCCCCTAGTGGCCAAGAGTTACACGGTGTGCCTTTAAAGCAAAGGACTAAACAAGCAAAAGAAAGGTGTAAAATGTATCAACATTAATTTACTCAAATAATAAGATCTAATAAAAAAGCATACTATTACAATTTGCTGGAGCAGAACAAGAGTGATATCCAAGGTACCTAGAAGGCATTCAATGGCATTATCAGGAAAGGGGGAAAAAAGGAAGAATATCCAAATCACTTCACAGTAAATAAATCAATAATCAGTGAAAGAAAGGATATTGTAAATGCATTTAACAGCTTCTTTGTCAGTGTTGGGCCAAAGTTATCCTATGAAATAGTGAAGCCAAACAATGTGAATGAATTTGATGAAAGAACTATAACAAATAATTAGGGCTATCATACTATAAAAAAATTGAATTGAGTTAATTACAGCTTAAACATTTATTAACCTGAAGAAGATGACATAGTCTGGGATCGCGTCTTTAATTCAGACAGAAGACATGTTTTATTGTCGATGGTAGAGACAGCACGAACAAAGCACACGATCACAGATACAATAGAATGCAAGTGTATTATACAGAGCAGAGGCATGGAGACCTCCAATCAGCAGCTTCCACGGTGCCATGTAGCTTGGCCTTCAGATAGACAAAACAAGGGAAAAGTACTGGCTTCTGCACATTGATAGAATGATGAGTTTAACTTTAACAAAAGTTGCTTCAAAGTGTTATGAAATCTCACATTCCCCCCTCTGGTCATACATTCACGTGTGACCATCAGGATCGATAAACAGCAACATAACATCATAACTCAATACTTCAAAACTCATACTTCACTCGGTACTTCAAAAAACTCAGAACTCGGAATACTTCAAAAACTCAGAAAACTCATAAAACATGTTCAGATCTTTCATAAAACTTGTCAACAATCTTCAGTAAAATACCAAACTTCATCAGTCGATGGTGGTTCCAGATATTGCTTTGAAAACAGTCTCTCCCACTTCTCTGTGTTGATTCTTTCAGCTGCATTTGTTGTGTCGAGCCATGAATTCTTCTGTGACGTGTCTTTCAATCACACGTTTCAGCTTCAGTGTCCAGATTCAGCAATTCAATTCAGTCCAAATTATGTCCAAATTCAGAAATCCAGATTGTTCCAAATTATGTCCTTGCAAAAGAGGACGCTGGTGTTGTCCATGTCTCAGCAGCTCACAGCCTGACTGGAATCAGGGGCTGTGCAGATTGTCCATGTGCTGGTCCAGATGCATTGTTTCTCTTGAGGTTTTTCAGTTTTGGCTTAAAAAAAAAACACTTTTTGTGTAAAAAAAAAAAAGTAGTCTTCTGTTCTCTAGATGTTACAGACAATGCCCGCATTCTCCACCACCTGAAGAAGATGACATAGTCTGGGATCGCGTCTTTAATTCAGACAGAAGACATGTTTTATTGTCGATGGTAGAGACAGCACGAACAAAGCACACGATCACAGATACA